AATACAAAAATTAGTTGGGCATGGTGGCGTGCATCCTGTAGTCCCAGCTACTCAGGAGGCTGAAGCAGGAGAATTGCTTGAACCCAGGAAGCAGAGGTTGCGGTGATCCAAGATTGTGCCACTGCACTTCAACCTGGAAGCAAAACTCCGTCTCAAAAAAAAAAAAAAAAAGTCAGATTCCTTCATGATAAATCTCTGAAAAGCACAGGTATTTAAAAAATGCACCTTAAACCAATAAATGCCACATATAACTTAAAAAATGCACAGCTAACAACGTACTATATGAGGTAATGTTGTAAGCTTTTATTCTAAGAGCTAAAATAATACAAAAATGTGACTTTTTGCAGTCTTACTAAAGACAGTACTAAATGTCCAAGGCAAAGAAATTAGAGAATAAATCAAAGTGTATTACTCTGTTCTCTTGCTGCTAATAAGTGTAACCCCAAAACTGGAAAATTTATAAAGGAAACAGGCTTAATGAGCTCATGGCTGGGAAGGCCTCACAATCATTGTGGAAGGTGGAGGAGAAAAGTCCTGGCTTACATGGAGAGAGCATGTGCAAGTAAACTGCCCTTTATAAGACCATCATGTCTCCTGAGGCTTATTCTTTACCCTGAGAACGGCATGGGAAATCCCATCCCATGATTCAATTACCTTCCACTGGGTTCTTTTCTATAAGTGTGGAGATTATAGGAGCTACAATTCAAAATGAGATTTGAGTGGAGACACAGCCAAATAAAACAAAAAAGCATCCAGATTAAAATGAAAAGGTGAAATTATTGCTGTTTGCAGGTGACATAATTTTAAGCATAGAAAAGCCTAAGAATTCACTAAGAACTACTAGAACTAACACATTCATTAAACTTGTAGAATACAAAATCAGCATACAAAAGTGAGTAGCAGTTTTATACATTAACAATTAACTATCTGAATTTGAATTTTTTTTTTTTTTTGAGACGAAGTTTTACTGTTGGAGTGCAATGGCACTGTCTCGGCTCACCGCAACCTCCGCCTTTTGGGTTCAAGCAATTCTCCTGCCTCAGCCTTTCCAGTAGCTGCGACTACAGTCACGCGCCACCATGCCCAGATAATGTTTTTATTTTTAGTAGAGACAGGGTTTCACCTTGTTGACCAGAATGGCCTCGATCTCTTGACCTCATGATCCACCCGCCTCGGCCTCCCAAAGTGCTGGGATTATAGGCATGAGCCACCGCACCCGGCCCTCAATTTGAAATTTAGAAAAACAATTCCACAATAACTGTAGTAACTATACTTTGAAATAAATTTAACCAAAAATTTTAACACCTTACACTATAATCTAAAGAACATTTAAGTAAAAAATTAAGTAATACACAAATAAAAATATATTACTCAGGAAATAGCATTAATATTCTGTTTATTTTTATTTTATGTTTTTATAAAGAAGGAGTTTCACCATGTTGGTCAGGCTGGTCTTGAACTCCTGACCTCAGGTGATCCGCCTGCCTTGGCCTCCAAAGTGTTTGGATTACAGGCTTGAGCCACCATGCCCGGCTGGCATTAATATTCTTAAATAGCTTCATTACCTAAAATGATCTACAGATATAATGCAACCTTTATCAAAGTGCCAGTGACATACTTAATAGAAATTTTGTAAAATACATCTAAAATTCATATGGTACCACAAAAGACCCTGAACAGACAAAGCAATAAAAGAGTTAAAAAGGCTGAAAATTCAGCAAAATTGAGCTTTGCAGTCTAAAAAAAAGTCCTCTCCACATAAATAATAAACGATATTTCTCGCCATGGATAGGTTCCACCTCAGACTTGAAGTCACAAACTAACTCCAACAAGAATATTTATGGCTTGTTACAAAGCACCTTTCACAGCAAGCACTGCCATGTTTGCTACATTTATGTATAAAAATATCTTCATGATTTATGAAGACCCCTAGTATTTACTTAAACAAAGTGGCTCAATCAATATGTACTTATTTTTATTATAAAAAGTGAAAGGAGGCCGGGTGCAGTGGCGCACGCCTGTGATGCCAGCATTTTGGGAGGCTGAGGTAGGTGGACCATGAGGTCAGGAGTTCAAGACCAGCCTGGCCAAAATGGAGAAACCGTGTCTCAACTAAAAATACAAAAATTAGTTGGGCATGGTGAAGGACGCCTGTAATCTCAGCTACTCAGGAGGCTGAGGCAGTGAATTGCTTAAACCCGGGAGGTGGAGGTTGCAGTGAGTCAAGACTGTGCCACTGTACCTCAGCCTGGGTGACAGAGTGACTCAGTCTTAAAAAAGGGGGAAAAAACAATAACTAAAAAAAGTAGGCTTATATAGCATTCTTCAGTTAAAAGAAGAAAATATATTCTAACAAAATGAAATATAACAACATATTTTGCAATATAGATTTTTTTGCACTACGCTTTATTAAAATTATTATTATTTTTAGACAGAGTCTCGCTCTGTCGCAAGGTGCCAGAATGAAGTGCGGTAGTGCAATCTCGGCTCACTGCAACCTCCGCCTCCTGGGTTTAAGCAATTCTCCAGCCTCAGCCTTCTGAGTAGCTGGGATTACAAGCATGCACCACCATGCCCAACTAATTTTTTTATTTTCAGTAGAGATGGGGTTTCACCATGTTGGCCAGGATGGTCTCGATCTCTTCACCTCGTGATCCACCCACCTTGGCCTCCCAAAGTGCTGGGATTATAGGCTTGAGCCACTGTACCCGGCCAAACACGGTAAAAATTTAACCACATAAATTCCCTCTGTCTAGAACTCGATCAAGACAGTTGCAGGTAAAAATAAATAAACAAAACAAAAATTAAAAAAAAATAAATTATCTCTATGTCCCTCTTATCTATTTATTTTTAGCTTTTACTCTGTACATTTTATTATTTTATTTTATTTTATTTTTTGAGACAGAGTTTTGCTGTCGTTACCCAGACTGGAGTGCAATGGTGCGATCTCAGCTCACTGCAACTTCCGCCTCCTGGGTTCAAGCAATTCTCCTGCCTCAGCCTCCTGAGTAGCTGGGATTACAGGCAGGCGCCACCATGCCCAGCTAATTTTTGTATTTTCAGTAGAGACGGGGTTTCACCATGTTGGCCAAGATGGTCTCGATCTCCTGACCTTGTGATCCACCTGCCTCGGCCTCCCAAAGTGCTGGGATTACAGGCGTAAGCCACGGCGCCCAGCCTATTAAAATTATCGTCATAAACACTGACCAGCTCACATAATAGGTACCTTATATGCAATAAGAAAATAAATGTAAGACACAAGAAAATTATGTGTCTATCATCAGTATCAGGCAAGTAAAAACAAAAATTTGCATAGGGAGATTCTAAATTATAAGCCATACAATTTTACAGTAATGAATTCAATACAAAGCAGAGAGTATAAATTTACTTTCATCATTTTTGAGTGTTTTCAGTTTTCTAGTCAATTAGCCATCTAATTGAAATTATTTGTTTCAGTATTGCTCTTTTCTTCTGAAAGTAGGTACAAACTGATACTGACAAAAAAGGCATTTATTTATTCCGTAAATGTTCTAAACTTAAGTTTTATTCTTAGAGTAATATATGTATACGTTTAATTCTATGTAAGTAAAAACTAACAGTCTGTAAGTGATTGCAGGTAGAGAGGCAACATGTTTAATAAAAAATATATAACACTTTTTAAATGTTAATTCAGGTCTCAGAAATGTATGCAATTTATATTGTTACATAATTTTTCTTATGACCATAAAAGAGATCCTGTAGCCAATAACAATTCTTTTTTTTTTTTTTTTTTTTGAGACGGAGTTTCCCTCATTACCCAGGCTGGAGTGCAATGGTGTGATTTTGGCTCACCGTAACCTCCGCCTTCTGTGTTTAAGCAATTCTTCCACCTCAGCCTCCTGTGTAGCTGGGATTACAGGCACGTGCCACCATGCCCAGCTAATATTTTTTATTTTTAGTAGAGATGGGGTTTCACCATGTTAACCAGGATAGTCTCAATCCCTTGACCTCGTGATCAACCTACCTTGGCCTCCCAAAGTGCTGGGATTACAAGCTTGAGCTATCATGCCTGGCTGCCAATAACAATTTAATTGTACATTTAAAAATAATTAAAAGTGGCCAGACACGGTGGCTCACACCTGTAATCCCAGCACTTTGTGAATGTGAGGAGAAGGATCATGGGGTCAGGAGTTCAAGACCTGCCTGGCCAACAAAGTGAAACCTTGTGTCTACTAAAAATACACAAATTAGTCAAGTATAATGGCAAGTGCCTGTAGTCCCAGCTACTCAGGAGGCTGAGGTGGGAGAATAGCTTGAACCTGGGAGGCGGAGGTCATAGTAAGCAGAGAAAATGCCATTGCACTCCAGTCTGGGTAACAGAGTGAGACTCTATCTCAGAAAACAAAACAAAAAAACTAAAAGTGCAGAAGTAGTTTATAATACAAACAATAAATGCTGCAGGTAATAAGTATTTTATTTACTCATGTATAATACATATTATATTCCTGTATCAAAATCTGCCACATATGGCATACTTACACATACTATGTGCCCACAGAAATTAAGAAAAACAAGTTTAAGTCCAGGCACAGTGGCTCACACCTGTAATCCCAGCACTTTGGGAGGTCTAAACGGGTGGATCACAAGGTCAGAAGATCATGGCAATCCTGGCAAACACGGTGAAACACTCTCTCTTCTAAAAATACCAAAAACAAAACAAAACAAAACAAAAATATTGCTGGGCATGGTGGCTCAAGCCTGTAGTCCTAGCTACTCAGGAGGCTGAGACAAGAGAATCATTTGAACCCAGGAGGAAGAGGTTGCAGTGAGTCGAGATCGCACCACTGCACTTCAGTCTGGGTGACAGAATGAAACTCTGTCTCAAAAAGAAAAAAAAAGTTTAAATAAGAAAAAATGAATAATTCAACCTACAGAAACAATATTCTTTGACTTATTTGCAATTTAAAGTCAATAGCAAAAAGGTTTACTAGAAATGTTAGTCCAGGCCCGCCTGGTTGCTGCCAGCTCTCCCAGAGCGGCAGCTGTCTCGGCAGCTGCGCGCCGCCTAGGTGTCTGGGCGATCCATGGGCAAGAGCAAGGGCCATGATGACAGATTACGGTGAGGAGCAGTGCAACGAGCTGGAGGCTCTGGAGTCCATCTACCCTGACTCCTTCACAGCTTGATTGCACATTGATCCAACCCTCCTAACAACTAGTCTTCCAAAATATAAATGGACTCTCCTGATACCACATTCTCCTTCAGTAGTGCTTCACTTGACAAGGTCCTGCTAAGGTATATTATCAGAAAGTCCACCCAGCTTCACCATTTCACCATTACTGTGACATCTGAGGCTGGAGAAAATGATGAAACTGTCCAGACTACCCTCAAGTTTACATACAGTGAAAAATACCCAGATGAAGCTCCCCTTTATGAAATATTCTCTCAGGAAAATCTAGAAGATAATGATATCTCAGACATTTTAAAATTACTAGCGTTACAGGCTGAAGAAAATCTTGGTATGGTGATGATCTTTACTCTAGTGACAGCTGTGCAAGAAAAATTAAATGAAATAGTAGATCAGATAAAAACTAGAAGAGAAGAAGAAAAGAAACAAAAAGAAAAAGAAGCAGAAGAAGCTGAAAAGCAATTATTCCATGGCACTCCAGTTACAATTGAGAATTTCTTAAATTGGAAGGCCAAGTTTGATGCAGAACTCTTGGAAATTAAAAAGAAAAGGATGAAAGAAGAAGAACAAGCAGGAAAAAATAAATTAAGTGGGAAACAACTATTTGAAACAGATCATAATCTTGACACATCTGATATCCAGTTCTTGGAGGATGCTGGAAACAATGTGGAGGTAGATGAGTCTTTGTTCCAAGAAATGGACGACTTGGAGTTAGAGGATGATGAAGATGATCCAGACTACACTCCTGCTGACCCAGAGAGTGACTCAGCTGATTAATGAATGGACGGTCCCCATCTGCAGAGAGGCTTGACTGCCACAGCATCTGTGGCTATGCTCAGAGGGTTTTAATTTTCCTTTCTTTTTTTCTAGGAAAAAATTATTTTCAGGAGAATATTCTTCTGATAGCTTTCATCATTGAACTTAATAAACTGACCTTAAAATTTCAAAAAAAAAAAAAAAAAGTTAGTCCATTATCATACTGAATAGTATATTGTTACCATTTTTTACCTACACCGTGAGTAAGGTGGGATATGTTAATTGCAGTGGCATAATAATGCTTCATTGAATGCATAATGGTCTTAACATGTTTCTTTAAAAAGCCTAATTAATAAATTTACACATTATTTAAAAATTTATAGCCGGGAGCGGTGGCTCATGCCTATAATCCCAGTAATTTGGGAGGCCGAGGTGGGTGGATCACAAGGTCAAAAGATCGAGATCATCCTCGTAAACATGGTGAAACCCTGTCTCTACTAAAAATACAAAAATTAGTTGGGCATAGTGGTGCATGCCTGTAGTCCCAGCTACTCAGGAGACTGAGGCAGGAGAATTGCTTGAACCCAGAAGGTGGAGGTTGCGGTCACCTGAGATCCTGCTATTGCACTCCAGTCTGGGTAACAACAGCAAAACTGAAATAAAAAAAAAAAGAGTATAGGCCAGGCTCGATGGCTTATACCTGTAATCCCAGCACTTTGGGAGGCCAAGTCAGGTGGATCACATGAGGTCAGGAGTTCAAAACCAACATGGCAAACTTCGTCTTTACTTTAGATACAAAGTTAGCCGGGCATGGTGGTGCATGCCTGTAATCCCAGCTACTGGGGAGGCTGAGGCAGGTGAATCTCTTGAACCTGGGAGGCGGAGGTTGTAGTGAGCTCAGATCATCCCACTGCACTCCAGCCTGGGCAACAAGAGAAAAACTCCATTTCCAAAAAAAAAAAGGAAAGCGTATAGATTTGCTTTCAGCATTTTTTAGGTTTATAATTTCCTAGTAAATAACTCACTTTACTAAAATAATTTGTTTTGTTCCAACACTGCATTTTTTTTCTGAAAATAGGTACAAATTTATACTCATACAAACATGCTTACTGACTCCAAAATGTTTTTTTTTTTTCTATTTTTGAGATGGAATTTCACTCTTGTTACCCAGGCTGGAGTGCAATGGCACAATCTTGGCTCACCGCAACCTCCACCTTCTGGATTCAAGAAATTCTCCTGCCTCAGCCTCCCGAGTAGCTGGGAATACAGCCACGCACCACCATGCCCAGCTAATTTTTGTATTTTTAGTAGAGACGGGGTTTCACCATGTTGACCAGGATGGTCTCGATCTCTTGAACTCGTGATCCACCCACCTCAGCCTCCCAAAGTGCTGGCATTACAGGTGTGAGCCACCGCACCCAACCCCAAATTTTTTTATACCTAAGGTTTTACTTAAAAATAATGCATATGTATATTTAACTTTATGTAAATCAAAATTCAGAACCTGTATGTGTTTGAAGGCAGAGAGGCCACATGTTCAAAACTATATAACAAGTTTTTAATGTTAATCAGGACTCAGAATGTGTGGACTCTATACTTGTATATAATTTTTATTATAATCATAAAAATAGACTTGTAGTCAATAACAACTGTTCATTTAAAAAAACTAAAACAGATATTCAAGATGGCGCAGTAAGAATAACTCAGGATTGCAGCTCTCAGTGAACGCTAAGAGGGTAAGTCAAAGCCACATTTCCAGACGGATCTTTGTTGCCCACAAAACGGGGAAATTCCCAGGTGTAGGAAAAACATGGGACACAAGCACAGCCAGTTTGGCTGTTGCGGCCACTTCGGCTGGTGCAGCAGTGCAGCGGCACTCCCCAACAATTCACACAAAACACAAAGGCCCGGGGAGCCCTGCTAAACTAGCAATCTGAGATTTGGGAGGGCAGATTAGCATATCCATCTGATTAGACAAGACTTGGACAGTGAGCCAGACCAGGAGATTCCTGGGAAGTGGCGTTTGAGCCAGCGCAGTGGCTAGCTGCACAGGAAATCACACAGATCCCGGTGCTCTAACAGCGGGCGACCGAAACATCTGGGAGAGAGCCATCCATTCAACTTAAAAAAAAAAGAAAAGAAAAGAAAGGTGCTCTGAGGCAGGGAGCCAGGTGAGTGGGCTCGGTGGGTTTCACCCCCACAGGGACAAACAAAACAGCAAAGTTTCACCACAGGCACAGCTGAACCCAGGACAGTGCAGCTCAGTGGGGGAAGGGCGTTTGCCATTACCGAGGCAATCCACCCCTACAAAAATACACTCCCATTGCTGACGTAGCCTGCCGTTGCTGAGGCAACCCGCCATAACAGAGAGACTTTGCTGCAGGGCAGAGCCTGCAGCAGAGCCCGCGGCTGTAGGGAAGAGCCCGCAGCAACAAGGTGGACACCACATCAGCAGGGCAGAGCCTCGGCAGGCAAATAGTGACTAGACTGCCTCCTAGCTGGGCAAAATAGTGCAACAGACACTCATAAAGAAAGCCCCAACCCCCCCGAGACAGAGCATCTGAGGAAAAAAAAGGGGTTTTAAGAGTTGTGCTGCAGCAGACTTAAACGCACCTGCTGAACAGCCCTGAATGAACAATGGAGCTCACAGCTCAGCACTTAAGCTCCTATAAAGTACAGACTGTCTCCTCAAGCAGCTCCCTGACCTCTGTATATCCAGAGTCACCTCAAAATAGACTGATCAGACTGACATTATGTGGGCACCATTCTGGGACAAAGATAGCAGAAGAAGAAACTGGTAGCATCCCTCACCATTCTGCAGCTGCTACAGGTGTACCCCAGACAAGCAGGGCTTGGAGTGGACCTCAGCAGTCGTACAGCACAGGGGCTAGACTGGTAGAAAAAAAACCAAGTAACAGAAATACCTCATCATCAACAATCTGGGCGCCCACTCAGAGACCCAATCGAAAAGTCAGCAACTACTCAGACGACAGGTGGATAAATCCACAAAGATGGGAAGAAACCAGCACAAAAGGAGAAAAACACTTGAAACCAGAACACCTTGCCTCCTACAAAGAACCAAAACTCCTCACCAGCAAAGGAACAAAGCTGGAAAGAGAAAAACTGTGACGAAATGACGGAATCAGACTTCAGAAGGTGGGTAATGAGAAACTTCTGTGAGCTAAAAGAACATGTTCTTAATCAATGCAAAGAAACTAAGAACCTTGAAAAAAAATTTGAAAAAAGATTTGAGGAAATGATAACAAGAATGGATAACTTAGAGAGGAATATGAATGAATTGAAAGAGCTGAAAAACACAACACAAGAATTTCGTGAAGCATGCACAAGTTTCAACAGCCGAATTGACCAAGCAGAAGAAAGAATATCAGAAGTCAAAGATCAACTCAATGAAATAAAACGAGAAACCAAGATTAGAGAAAAAAACTCAAAAAGGAATGAACAAAGTCTCCAAGAAATGTGGGACTATGTGAAGAGACCTAACCTACGTTTGATAGGTGTACCAGAAGGGGACGAAGAGAATGAATCCAAGCTGGAAAATACTCTTCAGGATATTATCCAGGAAAATTTCCCCCACCTAGCAAGGCAGACCAACAATCAAATCCAGGAAATACAGAGAACACCACAAAGATACTCTGCAAGAAGAGCAACCCCAAGGCACATAATCGTCAGATTCACCAAGGTTGAAATGAAGGAGAAAATACTAAGGGCAGCCAGAGAGAAAGGTCGGGTCACCCACAAAGGGAAGCCCATCAGACTCACAGCAGATCTCTTGGCAGAAACTCTACAAGCAAGAAGAGAGTGGGGGCCAATATTCAACATCCTTAAAGAAAAGAACTTTCAACCCAGAATTACATATCCAGCCAAACTGAGCTTCAGAAGTGAAGGAAAAATAAAATCCTTTGTGAACAAGCAAGTACTCAAAGATTTTGTCACCACCAGGCCTGCTTTACAAGAGCTCCTGAAAGAGGCACTACACATACAAAAAACAACCAGTACCAGCAATTCCAAAAACACACTAAATGCTAAAGAGCATCAATAAAATAAAGAATCTTCATCAACTAACAAGCAAAACAGCCAGCTAGCTTCAAAATGGCAGTATCAAATTTACACATACCAATATTAACCCTAAATGTAAATGGGCTAAATTCACCAATCAAAAGACACAGACTAGCAAATTGGATAAAAAATCAAAACCCATCAGTGTGCTGTATCCAGAAAGCCCATCTCACATGCAAAAATACAGAAAGGCTCAAAATAAAGGGATGGAGGAAGATTTACCAAGCAAATGGACAGCAAAAAAAGCAGGAGTTGCAATCCTCATCTCTGATCAAATAGACTTTAAAGCAACAAAGATCAAAAGAGACAAAGAAGGTCATTACATAATGGTAAAAGGATCGATACAACAAGAAGAGCTAATGATTCTAAATATATATGGACCCAATACAGGAGCACCCAGATATATAAGGCAAGTTCTTAATGACTTACAAAGAGACATAGACTCCCACACAATAATAGTGGGAGACTTCAACACTCCACTGTCAATATTAGACAGACCAACTAGACAGAAAATTAACAAGGATATCCAGGACTTGAACTCAGACCTGGAACAATCAAACCTGATAGACATTTACAGAACTCTCCACCCCAAATCCACAGAATATACATTCTTCTCAGCACCACATCACACCTACTCGAAAATTGACCACATAATTGGAAGTAAAGCACTCCTCAGCAAATGCAAAACAATGAAAATAATAACAAACAGTCTCTCAGACCATAGTGCAATCAAGGTAGAACTCAGAATTCAGTAACTAACCCAGAAGCACACAGCTTCATGGAAACTGAACAACTGGCTCTTGAATGTTGACTGGATAAACAATGAAATGAAGGCAGAAATAAAGAAGTTCTTCAAAACCAATGAGAATGAAGACACAACATGCCAGAATCTCTGGGACACATTTAAAGCAGTCTCTAGAGGAAAGAATATAGCAATAAGTGCCCATATGAGAAGAATGGAGAGATCTAAAATTGAAAACCTATCGTCAAGAGATTTTGAAAGAGCTAGAGGAGCAAAATCAAAAAAACTCAAAACCTAGCAGAAGACAAAAAATAACAAAAATGAGAGCTGAACTGAAGGAGATAGAGACAGGAAAAACCCTTCAAAAAATCAA